TATCACTATCCGACATATGTTTCCCAGAGATTATCATTGAAGAATCATTGATTTGCTTTATTGACATAGATATCAGAAAACTAATAGGAAATAAAAGCAATATACTTTAGCTTTTACTCATACTACCAAAATATTAAATTCATCAGACCAATCCTAACCTAACATTCTTCGCTATTGATGCAAACTTCAGAAACTGTTGGTTAAATATTTCTAAGCCGTTCATCTCTCGAATGTCTTGGCTTACTCTCTCTATACTCATAATATACAACCTCATGTTTTCAGCGGTTTTTTATGACATAAATAAACGTTACAAACATGGTTTTAATGGAAAATATCTGATAACTTTAGTAACTTTTTGCTTTTTTCATTTTCATTTCATCCAATCCATCATCAACTACAGTAGTTGTCTTCCATCTTGAACTTTCACAAATTTTACATGTGTGTCTAGATGCATCATTCCCCCAATACAACATGTAATCATTGGGACACACATAATGATATCATATGTTAATACTAACTTTCAAATAATCTTTTTCATATTGTTAAACAAATCTGGCAGCTTTGCAAGCTCAAAAGCTTCTTTTAGGAGGTCAATTATCATGAACATTTCCTTCTCTCTTATTATAAACAAACACTTGCTGTGATATAACTTAAGCATGAATGACAACTTGCTAAAATACTCACACCTTACAAAAGAGCTTGATTACAGTCTGATAACAAATCATCAAATGCCTATATTTCTTTTGAATTATCCACATAGGTATACTAGTAGATCCATTAAAACTCAATGTCATACTTGAAAAATATCTTCAAGCATATTCAAAGTCGAGTTTTCTACATGATATACATCTGGTTCATATACACCTTTGTTTTAAGGTCATATGAACGAATAGCTACTTGAGGAAGCATTGATTATTGATTTACTATGATATTTGAACTGAAAATTTGATACTCTATTATGCATATAAAACTAAATTCTTTGATTTAAGTTTTATCTGCAAAATATAATCATTATTGATTTGCTATTTTAGTACACTAGTTTTAAAATAGACAAGTCTTGGATACCAAAATATCGTTTATCTTAAGATTACATGATTGGAGCTAAGATTTCTTTAATTTTGCGTATGGTAATATGAAGACAAACATGATAAAGTGTCTATGTCAGCATCGTTGCCTTGTAATATACAAGCTTTGGGTTGAGATTAAGGTGACTTAATCTGTCATAGTTTTGTATCCACATATACCAACTGGTATCTACATGGTGAAGAATTAGATTTCCATTAAAATATTTAGAATCTGAACTAAATGTATATCATGTAGAAAACTCAACTTTGAATATGCTTGAAGATGTTTTCCAAGTATGATAGTGAGTTTTAATGTATTTATTAGTATACCTATGAGGATAATTCAAAAGAAAAATAAGCATTTGATTCAGATTCTAAATATTTTTCAAATAAAATAGTTTTCTACATGATATACATCTGGTTCGGATTCTAAATATTTTAATGGAAATCTAATTCTTCACCATGTAGATACTAGTTGGTATATGTGGATAGAAAACCATGACAGATTAAGTCACCTTTAATCTCGACCCAAAGCTTGTATATTACAAGGCAACGATGTTGACATAGACACTTTATCATATTTGTCTTCATATAACCATACCCAAAATTCAAGAAATGTTAGCCCCAATCATGTAATCTTGAGATAAACGATATTTTGGCATCCAAGACTTGTCCATTTTAAAACCAGTGTACTAAAATAGCTAATCAATAATGATTATATTTTGCAGATAAAACTTCAATCAAAGTTTTATTTATATATGCATAATAGAGAATCAAATTTTCAGTACAAATATCATAGTAAATCAATAATCAATGTTTCCTCAATTCATTGTCATACCAAACACACCTTTGTTTTAAGGTCATATACTTTACATTTGCATAAAAACGTGTGTCTTCAAAATATTGTCATTGAACACAAACAATAACATAGAAGATTTATGATGGACATATATTGTCAAGTAACAAATCAATATTATTTTGATGAATCATTATTTAATATATTTGTATGTGTTTGTTTTCCATTTTCAATTGGGCTATGGAATTGATGATGAATATTTTGAACAAGATCGCCCCACATTTCAGAGATTTAACCAAGCTAAAGAACATTTTCAAATTTTTCAGAAGCCACACAAAAGTTTGAGATTTTAACACAATAATATTTAATAAGGAGAGGAATCGAAACAACATACAAATTCAATTTAAGATTACCTAAAATTTTTCTGAAATTTGAGATTCACTGCTGCTGAAAACTCTAGCCCAAATAACATCACGAATCCACTATATCCTTCAACGAAATTTGTAGTGCTGTTAGGATTGATTAAATACAACAAGATCTAAGCTATTTGAGAAGAAACCCGAAGAAATTTATACAACAAAAACCTTACCGAGCTATTCGAGAAGAAAACTTCTTGTAGAAAATAAATCTTATCTCAGATCTATTCAGGAGATGAACGATTTTAAAACCGATTGAAGAAGCATGAAACGAAAGAATCGCATGAGTACTTTAAGGTTATGCGATTTTGATGTTTACAATATCTATAGAGAAGATGACGTTTTTGAGAAAGATTCGCTTCTTTTCTTACCTTTTTCAACTAATAGTATTTCAATGATTGTTTTTTAAAGTTAAAATCTATTACCATTAAAAAAAATAAAAATGTATAGAAAAAAATTAAAAAATCTATCTTTATAAAAAAAAAATTTTGGTAAAAAATCGAAGCTCTCCTTTTTATAGAGATGTTCCTAACGTTTAAGATTAATTTGACATGTCAGATTCGAACCTATCTTCTAGAGATTTGGGCTTATCATCAATTGAAGTTTCATATCCCATAGGATTCAAAACTTCATCCATCCCATGGGATTCTGACATCACACATCCCGTAGGATTCTGACGTCACACAGTCCAAAGAAAAAGGAATACCAATGTTTGATGATGATGCCTCTTCTTAAATAAGTGTTAGGATCTTGCTTCTTGTTGACTCAGTTCGGTATACAAAACTAGTTGGTTCAAACTAAATTTGCTTCTTTTACTGATTCTTTTTAGATGGTTTTTAGAAAATTCGATTAAAA